TAGCGTCTGGATTTTTTGAAGCTCAAAGATTACAGCAGTGTGTTTTGTTTATAATTTACGGGGGTATCAGTGGTGTAATCAAAAGTTACTAGAAACAGAAGATTGAAGACTTTTTTTTTTTCTTTTTTTATTTTCTTTTTTAAACATTTTTTAATGCTATTATTGATTTCTATACTCTATTAAACATATTAAAACAAACAAAAAACACGCACACACACACATATTTTTTGATTCCACATTTTATCCGCTGTTGCTTTGTGTTGCTGAAAAACATTGCTTCTTCAACGCTTCTTCAAAATTCAGTTTTTTTTTTTTCCCTGTTTATCCTCCGCATCCCTGTTGTTTTTATATATATTCATACACCCATACAGCCAGCAACGATTTCTTTACAACGATCAAAAAGTTAGGTTGATAAAGTTGAAACAAAAAAAAACTGTTTTATTGAAACTTCAGAAAATTGTTGAAAAGAAAGAGGAAAAAAAAAAAAAGGAAGGACAGAGTAAGAGAAATACTGCGAAACAGATGAAAGAAAAAGTTAAATGTTTTGATCCATTTTGGTGCACAAAAAAACTGAACCAATTCAAACTTTTCAACATAAGCTGACACAAAAAATTAACAATAAAAATCTGTTATGCCAGTATACATAATTGTATAAACAGAAAATAGTTGAATAGTATTCTAAAACAGATAACAGTATTTTGAGCTGTGTAAAAAAAGAAATTAAAACATAAGCATTAAAAAAAAAGAACTTGAGAAGAAAATTTATTTAGTGGAAACACGCTGGAAAACAATAGTTTAAATAGATATATTCTTTCATTTTATTTCATTTTTTTTTTCCTTATCTATTAGTTTGTTCCTTTTCTTTCCGTCTTCACAATTCATTCAGTTGAAGAAAAAAAAAATTAATTTGCACACAATATGCAGTTACAGTATTCAGTTACAGTTACAGTATTAGCAGAATATAATAAAAATGAACAAACAGAATATAGCTGTTACAAGAAAAGGAAATGCATATTTCAACAAAAAATTGGTTTTTTTTTTTCATGTTTATTGATCAATGAACATATGCATTTAAAACAAACGAAACAAATAAATAAATAAAGGAATATTATCACCAAAAATACACTGTTTTATTACATAGTAAAACTAAAAGAGTATCATTTAATTTAATGGTCCTCCAATAGAATTGCTCAGCAATATTCATCCAAAAAATTCTACTGATTACCGGAGTATACTCTGTAGCCTCCTAACTACTGCTAATGTTTTAGCGTCAAAAATTAGTGTTATTCTCATCAGAAGACGTGCAGCACTGGCCAATACAGGACGTTCTGACAGACTGTTGTTGGTTAGGGTTGCAGGTTCTGCTGATTTAGCAAAAGATAAAGGAGGCAACGTGATCGGCAGACGTTTACTGTTTACAAAAAGCCTGATCGATACGTATCCCCTATTTCTATTCACTTTTTGTTGATTTTGAGCTCCCCGTCCCCTTGTTATTCCGTCCCCCTCCCCGCATCGTTTTCCCCTAATATCCTCTCCTAATACCAACATTAAACACCTGTTATCACAGATAACGTCTTTTCAGCTAAATCAATTAACTGAAAGAAAAAAAAAAACAAAACAAAACCAACATTATCAAAATACGTTGTTTTTCTTCTTCTTCTTCAAGTTTTTTGTTAGGAACATTTTACTGCTATAGCATACCCTCGACAACAATTTCTGTTACTGCTGTTGTTGTTGATGTTTTTCAAAGCTCAGAAGAAACATCAACAAACTGTTTATCATTATTTGTGATTATATTGCCATCCATATAAGAAGAAACTATTGCCAAAGTTACTGTTTAATTGGTTTTAACTGAACACAGTTGTGTCATCTTTAATTTAAAAAAACCATTAATGAAACCTAAATCTTTAAATTAAGCACGTGAGCTTGGCAGTTCAAAAATTGCTACGTTTTCCAGAAAAGGTTGTGAAAAAAAAATTTTTTTTCAAATTGACAAAAACCAATGTGGATATACAAAACATAAAAACAAAACAAAATCATAGTAATCACGCGATTTTAACTATCAGCCACCATTGCCCTTTATCTTCAAAAACCAAAGTATAATAAATCAAAAAATTTTTTGGCTTTTCGTCCAATTTATTGTAGATGAAACCACTGATGGTACGAAACTATCCAGCAGTAATCAAATTATCTCTGTCTTTGCCACCAAAATTTAATGAATATGAGGTATACAGTGTACCAGAAATTACAGATGCTGCACCAATTCCCAAAATCTAATGATAATTAACTGAAAAGTAAAACTAGCAGGACAGAAGCCAGAATTGATGTATATTAGACAGAAGATCAGTTTGGTTGTACGATTCAATCAAACAACATTTTTTTTCAGAGAAACTGTACAAGCTTGACAGTAGCGTAATAGAATTTTAATATATATTTGGTAGTCATTTTCTTCTTTGATGATATTGTCAATTTATTAAATGAAATGTTGAGAGAAAAATTACGCTAACGTTTATTAGAAATTATAAGCTTACTAAACAGATTGTTGGTATTTATAAAATGTAAATGAAAATCTTTAATAATTTTTAAATTTCATTTATGGTTTTATTTGATGCAACTGAATTCTTATACGTTTATTTAACTTCCCCAAATAAGTCGTCGACTTTGATGCACTTGTTTAAAACACTAAGTTAAATTTACAAAAAAAGATTAAAAAAAATTATAAAACAACTGCAGTTTGTTCTTTCGTAAACAAAAATTGTGAAAAACAAATGTTTAATGGTTATTAATAAGATTAATAGTAATAACAGTGGTGATAATAATAAAAACAG